TTGGTGAAGCCCAAGATAAGGTCATAGTTGGCAGTATTGGCCACCGAGGCTTCGACTACTCTGAGACTGTGCTTGCTGATAGCAACTTGAATGCTAGCTGAACTGTTTATGGCAAGCTGATGCCTGGTGACACTGTGGATGGTTCTTGTTTTTGTGGGTTTTGTGGGTATGTGGTACTTACTAACAAAGGAATCTGAAACTATTGACAGTCCAGCACTGGTGTCAGCAAGTATTTGAGCCAGATGGTCTTGAACCGTTCCGGAGAGCTCTAGTACTGCCATTCCTCCGCTGGTAGAGAAGTGTCAGGGGTCTCGCGCCTGAAACCCAGGTCGGTCTGTCGAGATACTCGGTGACTATCAAACTGTGCGACAGCTATTGTCTCGGTATCGGTGACTATCAAGTTGCACAGTGACAGCAGGTGGCATTCGTTGTATAAACTATCGAAGGTTTCGGCTGACCTCTGTGGACACTCTGTTCAGGGGTAGCTTGGCACGATCAATATCAATGCTATGATGACACCAAGGTCTGGTGTGAGTGTTGATGATGATGAGGTTGATGACATTGGTGATAAGGTTGGTGGGTGTTGATGATAATGAGGTTGATGGTGTTGGTGATAAGGTTGGTGGCATCAACACGAGTGTCCAGTGTGTTGACTTGATGCTTGTAGTGATCCCCAGACCGCAGTGGACTACTGCCTTCAGTTCTATCTTGATCCGGACCGCTAACCTGCTATGGGCGCCTTCAGACGTCAGGTAGTGGTGATACAACACACACACTATGATGAGGAGCAACCTTGATAGATTGCTGCTATGCTGACTGAAACTAATATATACTTATGCTGAAGTGATAACTAGTTATGGTGAGTAGAGTGGATGGGGATCCACTCGACCTATGATGATGAGAAAGCATGGTTATATACCTCTTCACAGCACCGCCAGCGATGCTGCTCCTGCTCTCTCTCCAGAGAGTACCTTCTTCATCGAGTACTGTTCAGGGGCCTCTCCTGCTTGGCACCCCTGTTCCTCTTGAGTGGTGTCGACTCCTTCGACACTGCTCCTCCTCCTCATGACCTGTGTCGACTTCCTGTCTCTCGAGCCCCTGAGTGGTAACCATCTGAGCTTGGTCCTCCTCGTGGCTGCGCCTGCTCTTTGAGCTTGGTCCTCCTCGTGGCTGTGCCTGGCCCTCCTCGCATGTGGCTCGTGTCCTCCTTTGCATGTGAGTCCATAGGAGTCCATGGTCTCCATGGAGGCTGCACTACAACCATGCTCTCTAATGGTATCGACTAGATCTTTGATACCTGTGCTCCTTCCATATGAACCAGTGACCCTCCTGCTTCTTGAGCATCCAGGCCCATGACACTACCCCCCTCTTAAGAGCCGAGCTCCGTCGAGGCATGCTCTGGCTCTGGTCTGGTTCATGCTGACTCCTCCTCCTCCTCCTCCTCGACAACATCGCCAGCATCATCCTTCCTCTTCCTCTCTCTACTCCTCCTGTTCTCTCCTCCTTTCTCTACTTTGTCTACTCGCTCGTCCCCCCTCCAACACCTCATACTCCTGGATGAGGTCGGGGCAGTTGAGGTTCTCTACTGGTTCCCATGAAGCAGCTTCTTCTGAGTACCCTCTCCACAACACTTTGTACTCTGTAGACCCATTGTGTGAACATTTGTTGATGAGTGCTTCGACTTCGAAGTCGAGGTCCTCATCTGGGAGTGGTGGTATGGTGGGCTGCTCAGCTCATTGAGGAAGAGAACTTGTTCTTGCTGGCTCGAGCATGGAGACATGGAACACATCATGCACCCTAAGGTTTGCTGGCAATGTGATTTTATAAGCTCAGCATCCTACCCGTTCCTGAACTGGGTAGGGTCCTGCAAACCGGGTATCTAACTTGGGTGTGGGTCTCCGTGTCTTCCAGTTTCGACGGTTGATATAGACCATATCACCCACCTTAAACTCGATGTCCTTGTGCTTCCTGTTATACTGGTCTACTGATCTACATTGTGCCTCTCTGATCTGCTCCTGGAGGTACTTGCAACGCTCCTTTCCATCCATGAGGTACTTGAAGCGACCTGGATCATTGACTCCTAGTTGTTGAGGGATGTCAGGATGAGCTTTGGGGTTCCATCCATAGCATGCAAAGAATGGTGAGACACCAATGCTGTTGTGGACTGTGTTGTTGTATACAAATGCTGCAGTGTCCAGCAGGTTGGCCCAGTCATCCTGCTCATAGTTGCAGTACATCCTTAGGTACTGCTCAATGACCTGATTGACCCTCTCTGTCTGACCATCAGTTTGAGGATGGTAGGCTGTGCTAAGTGAGTGCTTCACACCCATTTGCTCTGCAAATGCCTTCCATGCTCCTGATATGAACTGCCTGCCTCAGTCTGAGACCATGTGATCTGGGTATCCAAAAAGCCTAACCATGTGTCCATATAGCAACACTGCAGTCTGTTTGGCTGTGACTGTCTTATGGGTTGGAGCTAGTATGGCAAACTTGGTTAACCTGTCAACAATGACTAAGATAGAGTCATAGGTCTTGGAGTCATACTTCTTCGATGGTGGTAGTCCTTCGATGAAGTTGAGGGATATGGAGCCCCAGGGCCTGTCTGGTGTTGCTAGTGGCTGTAGCAAACCATATGGACGATGACAAGGAGCTTTGTACCTAGCACATACAGGACAACTTGCTACATAGTCTGCAATCCAAGCTGTCATGTTTGGCCACCAGTAATGTCATTGAGCTGCCTTGATGGTAGCATCTCTTCCTACATGTCCAGCAGTGATACCATCATGGCATTGGGTCATCACCATGAATTGCAGATGCTCTACAGAGAGGGACTGTCCATCTACCTCTTTGGCACTCCTTGAGTGTCAGTTGTTGGTCCTCCCTGGCATGATTACTTTGGGGATAACCAACCTTCCTCCACTGTACCATAGGTTGTCCTTGAGCTCAAAGGGCTTCTTCCTATGTATCTCCTGTAGCTCTTGGTCTAAGGGCTGGAAGATCTTGACCAGGTCTCTGAGACCTTTTGATGCTATGGACTCCATCGAGATCATGGGGGCCACTAGGGTCGAGTCATGGTCTGCTGTCTCCTTGAACACTCAAGGAGGCAGTAGTTGCCTCACATTGTGATCCTGCTCTTCACCAGCTGGTTGCATGTCTGTCCTTCTGGTGAGAGCATCAGGTTCACCACCTTTGTCTCCTGGTCGATACTGCAATATGAAGTCGAAGTCTGCTAGTAGTATAGCCCATCAAGCCTGTTGACCTGTGATGCATCTCTGTGTCTTGAAGTACTTGAGGGCTTCATGGTCAGTGAGGATGACCAGTTGGCTTGGTAGTCCAGCTAGCATGTGTCACCACTGAGTAAGGCAGGCGACCACAGCTAGGAGCTCCTTGTCATGGATTTCATAGTTCTTCTTGGCAGAAGACATCTTCCTAGAGTAGAAAGCCACTGGGTGCCATCATCCTTCATGCTCCTGCTTGAGTACTCCTGCTATAGCAAAGTCACTTGCATCAGTCTCCAACCTGGTTGGGAGGTGGTAGTCAAAGTGCTGCAGCACTCCTGCTGATGTGAATGCCTGGATGAGCTGGTGGAAGGCCTGCTGGGCCTCCTCTGGTAGCTCGAACTTCTTGAACCGTTCTGTAGGCTTTACCAGTGATGTCAATGGCTTGGCTATGTGAGCAAAGTGGGCTATGAACCTTCGATAGAAGTTGGCAAAACCCAGGAACCTTTGGATGTCATGGATTGACTCTGGCATTGGCCACTCCTTGACAGTGCGCACCTTTTCTGGGTCCATCTCTATGCCTGTCGGCTTGATGATGTACCCCAGGAACTTGACTGTCTTGGTGTGGAACTCACACTTCAACAGCTTAGCAAAGAGCCTGTTGCTCCTTAAGCGAGTGAGGACCTCGGTGACATGCTTCACATGTACCTCCTCAGTGTCACTGAAGATCAGGAAGTCATCTAGGTATACCACTACATATACTCCAATGATGTCTCGGAAGATGTTGTTGATGAACAACTGGAAGTGAGCTGGAGCATTGGCTAGGCCAAAGGGCATCACTAGGTACTCATAGAGTCCCAACTGAGTGCCAAAAGCTGTCTTCCATTCATCTCCTTTAGCAATCCGGATGAGGTTGTATGCTGCTCTAAGGTCTAGCTTGGTATAGATCCTTGCCTTCCTGAGTAAGAACAGCTGCTCCTCGATGAGGGGCAATGGTGCCCTGTGTCAGGGGTCTCGCGCCTGAAACCCAGGTCGGTCTGTCGAGATACTCGGTGACTATCAAACTGTGCGACAGCTATTGTCTCGGTATCGGTGACTATCAAACTGTGCGACAGCTATTGTCTCGGTATCGGTGACTATCAAGTTGCGTAGTGACAGCAGGTGGCGTTCGTTGTATATACTATCATAGGTTTCGGCTGACCTCTGTGGACACTCCGTTCAGGGGTAGCTCGCTGTGCCTGGCCCTCCTTGCATATGGGCCTGGTCCTCTTTTGCATGTGAGTCCATAGGAGTCCATGGTCTCCATGGAGACTGCACTATGACCATGCTCACCACTGGTATTGACTAGATCTCCGATACCTGTGCTCCTTCCATATGAACCAGTGACCCTCCTGCTTCTTGAGCATTCAGGCCCATGACACGACTCACCTCGAGTTCGGCAATTTAACATTTCCCCCCCCCCCCCTTTTTTATTCCTCAATTTCTTAGCCTCCTTTTCCAACAATTTTCATGCGTTGTCAAGAGCGATAATAATCACCGTTGATTATAGAAAAGCTCGGGACACGGAACTGAGCTCCCAAGTGGGATCTCACAACGCTTTGCTCAAATTCACAATTTGGCCCTCCACAAGGCGAGGCACGCTTTGAGAAGAAACGCACCGGCCATCTCGGAGTGACAACAGAAGCACAAGGGTCCAACAATATAAATTCTGACCTGAGCATAGATCCACCACCACCATCAGCTCGACAAGATCATCTAAAGGCTCGCACGCACATATCAAGGATGTCGCCGCCGCGCGTGCTCACCATCGCTGGTTCGGATTCAGGAGGAGGCGCAGGCATCCAAGCCGATCTCAAGACGTTGCTCTCCCTGGGCACGTATGGTCTTTCGGTACTCACGGCCTTGACAGCGCAAAATACAGCAGGCGTGTCCGCAATCCATGCCTGTCCACCCGAATTTGTGCTGCAGCAATTCAACTCGGTAGCTTCAGATATCCAGATCGATGCAGTCAAGCTCGGCATGTTGTGCAATCACGAGATTGTCGCCGCCCTGGCATCAAGACTTGGCGAATGGAGGAAGGCGACTGATGCGAACGGTGGCAGTGGGGTACCAATAGTATTGGACCCGGTTATGGTCTCGACATCAGGATCTCTGCTGCTCTCGGAAGGTGCTATTGAGACGCTGATTCGAGACTTGCTGCCGCTTTGCACTATCCTGACACCGAACTTGCCAGAGGCAAGACAGCTGCTCAAGTATGCTGCCAAGTTCACGTCGCACCAATCAGGACCGCGCGAGCTCGAGCTGGCACAGTACAATCACGATACAGAGCTACCACAGATGATGGCAGCAGCCAAGAGCATCGCAAAGCTAGGTCCGGAGGCTGTGCTGGTCAAAGGAGGTCACGCCAAGCTTAAAAGATGCCAGATTGACGCGTATCTGGAAGGTATCGATGCAGGGCCTTCTGGTGTACAGACGATACCTCTGACGGAAACTACTTGGCAAGCATCTAGGCCCAAAGAGCGATATCCACAGCGCAAAGAGAAGCGTAGCACTGCGTCGAAATCTCGGAAGGCAACGACTGAAGAGGATTCCAGACAACTCGCGGGTGTTGATGGCGCCATCATCACAGTTCAAGGCAGCGTAACGGTCATCCGGACCGACAGGATCCCGCTGAGCGAGGTCTTGGATCGCCAACATAAGCAATCAGATGACGAATCTGTTGTATGTGATGTCATGTATCAACAGATCAGCCAAGGCGAGGGTGCATATGTGTTGTTCGTCAAACCACTGATCGACTCAACCGCGACACACGGTACAGGCTGCACACTCTCATCCGCCATAGCAGCGTCTCTTGCACAGGGCCTTTCTTTACTGCGCTCCACATCGATAGCGATCAAGTACGTGCAAAACGCGATTGCTAACGGCATTCACGATCTAGGCAAAGGTCCAGGCCCACTCGACCATTCATATCCGTTCCAGCCACGTGGTCTCATCACCTCACCGACTCATACAGATAGCTCTACAACGCATCCGTTCGCATTGAATCGGAACTTGATCTCGAACTCGCTCGAGGTTTGGACAGCCTTCGTCCAGCACCCTTTCGTATTGGGACTGGCAGACGGCTCATTACCATGGGAAAGCTTCGTATGGTTCATGAAGCAAGACTATCTCTTCCTTGGTCACTATGCACGCATCTGGGCACAAGCGGCCTCGTCGCCAGACAACACGTTCGAAGAGGTTTCTCAATTGGCAGAGCTATCAGAAGCGATGGCAGAGGAAGCGAAACTACATCAACGCCTCTGTTCGGAGAGCTTTGGGATATCTGCCGAGCAGCTGGAGAATGAGACGATGGAAAGCGCAGCGACACTAGCATACACGCGGTTTGTGCTCGACACAGCTCGGTCCAGCGATGGTCTGGACTTGCTCGTCGCAGTAAGCCCATGCATGGTGGGTTATGCTCAAGTTGGTCTCTGGCTGGCAAAGAAGCGCAAGGCAGACATCAACAAGGACTATGCAGCGTGGATCGATGGCTACGCAGGGGACGAGTTTCAGGAGGTGGTGCAAAAGGCGATGCGACTAGTGGAGGCCAAGGCTGCAAGAGATGCTCCCACACCGGAGAGGCTGCGAAAGTTGCAAAAGATCTGGAACGCGGCGTGTCGACTGGAAGCAGGCATGTGGGATGAAGCTATAGATGGTCGTTTGCGCAGATTGGTGCTTGAACCTTGAAAGCAACGCTGTCCATGCGCGCATTTCTCCGCACACCACGAGACTAGTAGCGCGACTTGTTCTGGCCGTCAAAGTGTGTTTGGTCGAGTTGCAAGATAGAAGTGTCATGGGTTCTGTGATGCAATAGGATGACTGTCATTGCCTAATCTAACCTGTGGCTTTCCTGTTTCCTCGATCTCGCTTGTAGCGAACTGGGCAGTCGATGGCCGGGGAGACGACGCGCGTTCAGTAACCACGTGCGATCCTCACCGGTTCCAACACGATCCGAAGTGGGTCAGAAAGGCAGAAGGGCTATTATGAAGCATCGAAGAGGAGGTCAATCGCGAAGAAGGTGCAAGCTGCGAACCCTGTGATTGAAAGATGATGATGAGTGAGCGTGCAGCGTCATCGCGCAAGACCCGACATTTGACAGGGCATCGACAGGCCAAAATGGCTGACGATGCAATTTTACATGACGCATCTGCAGAACGTCGGTGTCTTGGTGCTCTCAGGCCGCTCGTTTTGATGATCAGCAGCAACAAGGACAACGAAGACGGGATGTCTTATTTGATCGGCCATCATTCTTCCCGCCCTCACTGCCAATCCGGCTTTGCGTACTTGGGTTGCGGCGCTCTCTCGCGTAAGTTAACCAGCTTTGGATGTTCGACGTCAGTCCCTTGTTTTCTCCCTGAAACTCGATCCTGTCAGCGTAAGACTTTTTCGAATTGCTTTTGCCAAGCAATGTTGTCAACGCTGAGTTATCGCCCTTGACAACGCGTGAAAATTGTTGGAAAAGGAGGCCGAGAAATTGGAAGGAAAAAATATATATATAATGTTAAATTGCCCAACTCGAGTGAGTCGCTTGCGAGCTCCCGGCTCAAAGCGTTGCCACGAAATGGAGTTCTGCGCGTTGGTCACGTGCCCCTTCGCTCACCTTTGAAAAATGCGCATGTATCCATTTGCACGATAAGTCATGATCGCGAGCTCGATTGGCGTTGATGCGAAGGCTTTTGCTTGATTGGCTGCTGTAGGCTGCAAATCGAATCTTGCTGTTCCTGTTCCGTTCGAAGCGAGAAGCAAGCCACAATCCCAATTGTCTCCCTCTCCCGCTGTCAAATCGCTTTCAAACTGGATTTCTCTGTTATTTGATACGCCGGGAAAGTGATGATCGGTTTTCCCGCTGCATGCAATTTGCGTCGGTGCACATAGAAGCGGCGCTACCGAAAAAGACGAAAAGCCCGATGCAATGGATGTACTGTAGCTGCGGCACGGTTTCTGGTGTTTTTTTTTTTTTTTTTTTTTTTTTTGGCAAGTTTGCGTCTTGGTATGCAACTGCTAGAGAAGAATACAGAGGCTGCACACCGACGGTCAAGCTAGGAAAAGAGCAAAGAGATGCTGTGCCAAGCGTGATAAAAGAGAAAAGAAACAGGGCACATACTTGTCGACGGCAGTTGGAGCGGACAACTCTTGTTGTGTGCGCCGGCCAGTCATACAGTAAAACGCGCCAGGCCGTCATTTTTCTTGCACAAACAAGAGCACCGCTCGTTCTTTGATCGATGTGCGTGCATGTTTCCAACGTCATTCCTCGCTCTCTTTGGTTCGCTTCCTCTCGACTTGCCTGTGCCTATCTGCCTTGCTTGTCGTATGATGTAGCCCCTGTTCTCTAGCTTAGCCGTGGTCGCGAATACATACGTAGCCCTGGCACAAATTCTCCGCTCTCGCTTGCTCGCTTGCTTGCTTGCTTGCACTCAATCATGCTGCACTGCAATCAATGTGCTGTACATAGGCGAATCAATCCAGACTCATTAGCGAATGACCTTCGAAACTATACCTTTCTTTCCTAGCAAAGGGTCCTGACCCTGGGTAAACTCATACCATCACAGGTAATAATAGCGTACCGTCTGTCTGTGTTCTGCGGCAACATTTCTCACAATCACAAAGAAGAGAACTCAATGTGATGACGATTGCGTTAGAGCGAGTTCCTTCGTCTGGTCTGAGGCTAAACCTGCCAGTTCCCTTTTCCTTTCTCTAGCGTCACTCGGGGCGATGATCTATCGGTCCGGGTTCACCAATGCCCTTTTTGTTTCCGCGTAGCCAGACCATTCAGTTCGGCACTTTACCATAGTGTTTTTCCCACGACATACTCATCCCTCTCGGAAGACCCGACGTAGCTCCAGTGCCTCTTTGCTCCCACACCACATTGCTTTAGCGCTCTTACTCTCCGAAGTGAGAGAAAGAGAAACCCTTCTTCTAGCCCAACTCGAGCGAGCAACAGAACTCAGCTCCTCTCTGAAACGCAACACCCTTCCATAACCACACCTATCATCTCTCAACTTCCCCTCTCTCGGAGCATCGAGATCCTTTGGTGCTAATAAGGGTCCACCGATCATGGCGGACAACTCATATAGCAGTGCTGGTGCTGTCCACCGCACCTCTTCATCTGACGAAGAGACCGCAGCCGAAATACCACGACACAATGACGCCGCTTCCTCCACCCACGACAGCAGCAACAAAACCAACGAGGAAGTCCCCGCTGATATCGAGGCCATTCGCGAGAAGAACGATCTCACAAAGACCAACCAAGAGAAGCAGCGCGAAGGAGAACACGATCTTCAACCCCGTGAAGAGGATGGCAAGATCGTCCTTACCGAGCGAGCCGGTTACCTCTCAACTGGTTACTCCTACCCGACATGGAAGAAGTGGGCCATTCTCTGCGTCATCTTTGCCGTTCAGGTTTCCATGAACTTCAACACTTCCGTCTACCCTAACGCTGTTGTGGGTGTTGCCGAAAAGTACCGCGTTTCCGAGCCGGCCGCTCGTGTAGGTCAGATGATCTTCCTTGTCGCCTACGCTTTCGGCTGTGAGTTCTGGGCTCCCTGGTCTGAAGAGATTGGTCGATGGCCCGTCCTTCAGCTTTCGCTCTTTCTCGTCAACATCTGGCAGATTCTCGCCGCTCTCGCTCCCAACTACGGCTCTCTCATCGTTGCTCGTTTCCTCGGTGGTCTCTTCACCGCAGGTGGATCCGTCACTTTGGGTATGGTTGCCGATCTCTGGGAGCCTGATGAGCAACAGTTTGCTGTCGCCTTCGTCGTGCTCTCCTCCGTCGGTGGTACTTCCGTCGGTCCTTTCGTCGGTGGTTTCATCCAGGCTTACCTTAAGCTCGAGTGGAACTTCTGGATTCAGCTCATCTTTGGAGGTGTTGTCCAGATCGCACACTTCTTCCTCGTTCCCGAGACTCGTTCCACTATCTTGCTCGATCGCGAGGCCAAGCGCCGTCGCAAGAGCGGCGAGAACAACATTTACGGTCCCAACGAAGTTCGCACGGAGCGATTCAGCATGAAGGAGATCGGAACCTACTGGCTTCGTCCCTTCGAGATGTTCCTTCGAGAGCCTATTGTTCTTTTCCTCTCATTGCTTTCTGGTTTCTCCGACATGCTCATCTTTATCTTCCTCGAGTCATTCCAGCTCGTGTACAAGCAGTGGGGTTTCAGCACTGTCCAGATTGGTCTGGCCTTTATCCCCATCAACCTGGGTTATCTGCTAGCCTACTTCATTTTTGTGCCCCGTTTCCGCTGGGAGAGGAAACGCCGCGTTCGTGACCCCGATGCCCTCGCTCCCGAAGCCCGTCTCTGGTTGCTGCTTTACCTCGCACCCCTCGAAGCACTTGGACTATTTGGCTTTGCCTGGACATCTCTCGGCCCACCTGAGGTGCACTGGATCGCCCCCATGATTTTCTCCTGCATGATCGCAATCGCAAACTACGCTATATATATGGCGACGATTGACTACATGATAGCCGCTTACGGTCCTTACTCGGCCTCTGCAACAGGAGGAAACGCTCTGGCAAGAGACTTCCTTGCCGGTATCTCCGCAATGTACGCCACACCTCTCTACGACACGCTGGGTCTCGAATGGGCTTCTACTCTCCTCGCTTTCCTTGCCATCATCGTTGCCATTCCCGTATACATCTTCTACTGGAAGGGACCTGCGATCAGGGAGAGGAGTAGGTTCGCCCAGTCGCTGGCTGAGGATAGGAAGGCGAACGGCGGTAAGAGGACCGATCAAGATGAAAAGGCGGAGAACGGCACTATGTACCGCAGGAGGAAGCAGCATGAACAGCCTCAGGAGTAGACTGCGATAGGAGAAGAGATGTGCGTTGAGAGTTGTATAGATGGAAGCAAATGTACATAGACTTATCGTGCGAATGGATACATGCGCATTTTTTCAATGATGAGCGAAGGGGCACGTGACCAACGCGCAACACTCTCATTTCGTCACAACGCTTTGAGCCGGAAGCTCGCAAGCGACTCACTCGGGTTAAGCAATTTAACATTCCTTTTCCCTCAATTTCTCAGCCTCCTTTTCCAACAATTTTCACGCTTTGTCAAGGGCGATAACTCACCGTTAGGGGGTATCAATTTTCGAGTGTTTTTAGAAACACGTGTTTCTCGATTTTGACGAGTTTTTATTTCGCACAAAAACCTACATAAGCTCACCCAAAGTTGAAAAAGTTGAAGTAGGTAAAAGCCACACAAAGTGTAGAGATGGTGAAGGTAGTGCTTATGGCTGAGTAAAAGGCTTGAGCATCTGAGCACGGACCACATGTGTCACAACCTACTCAAGACAAATGCTTTGTTATGCTCCGCAGTCGATGCGGCTCTCTGCTGCTCTTCTTTTGTATATAAAAGACTCCTTCTCTCTCCTCGCTCTCTCTCTCTCTTACTATCATCATATAAAAATCACACGAAACTTCAACTGAAAAAACACATGTTTCTGAAAACACGCCTCCAGACCTGGTAAAATGGACTCACTTTTTTTGTCACTCTCCAAAATGAAGTGTGGATGCATGGATGTGCATCCACTTGCTTCACTTCATCACACTGGTGTGTCATGTCCTTCATCACTGTGCATCATGTCCTTCATTACTGTGTGTCAAATGAAGTGTGGATGTGCAGATGTGCAACTGCTTGCTTCCCTCCTTCATTACCAGCAATGAATTTGATAACAGATGTGTTAAATCAAATTAATTGCCACCTTTGCTGCAAATTGTCAGGGGTCTCGCGCCTGAAACCCAGTGTCACGGGAGCCGGTCAGCCGAAATGGAGTCTGCGCCATCTGCCGAAATGGAGTCTGTGCCAACTGCACAGACAGAGAGGTTAAATCGGTTGAAGGGCTGCATAAGAACCTGACTCGGCAGTTCCCAAGGAGATCCAGTAGGAGACCATAACTTGCTGGATATCAGGGACTACTGGTGGCAGGAACAGATGGGAGGGTTGTTGAGCAATGCCACTCTGTGGTACATGTGGGAAGTCGTTGTCATCGATCAATGATGATCAGACACATGATGAATTGCTAGGGAACAATCACTCTGGAAGTGTAGTTGGTTTGGCAGCTTGGGAAGGTGCTGAAGTCAGCCTTACCAAGCAAGCCCTGAGTGGTGCCACATGCAGGTCGTGTGGTGGCACTAGATTGTGTCCTTGATACAGCATTGTATATATACTATCTCCCCATGCTATTGGATGAGCAGAGACTCATCCACTCTACAAAACTTTCACAGTTATCATAGCCATATGTTCCACTACATGAACAGTAACATTCTTTCTATGTTGCACATCACAATATCATCTATTGCAATCATTGCAAGTCTGAGCCTTCATTGTCAAATGAAGAGTATTGTAAACGATGTCATCGACACCTACATTGGCACTGTAGCACCTCAACTACAGGCAGAACCTCCACCGCAGGCCTGGAACCTCTACCAGTCCCTATAACCTAACTGCTGCCAGCAACAACAACCGAGCATTAGCTCCGTCACTGACCATGCTACATCGATGTCTTGACACTTGCACTGACGTTGCACTACACCATTGCTAGGAGCTGACCTTGCCGTGTTACCTCTGTATGGAGTGCCAACAGCGGTTAGTCGACATCCATTCCCTGGACCTCACTCATTGGGTATCACGGGTAACCGTTTGTCAGGGGTCTCGCGCCTGAAACCCAGGTCGGTCTGTCGAGATACTCGGTGACTATCAAACTGTGCGACAGCTATTGTCTCAGTATTGGTGACTATCAAGTTGCGCAGTGACAGCAGGTGGCATTTGTTGTATATACTATTGTAGGTTTCGGCTGACCTCTGTGGACACTTCATTCAGGGGTAGCTCAGCATGATCAATATCAATGCTTTGGTTATGATGACGCCAAGGTCTGGTGTGAGTGTTGATGATGATGAGGTTGATGATGTTGGTGATAAGGTTGGTGAGTGTTGATGATAATGAGGTTGATGGTGTTGGTGATAAGGTTGGTGGCGTCAACACAAGTGTCCAGTGTGTTGACTTTGATGCTTGAAGTGATCCCCGGACTGCAGTGGACTACTGCCTTCGGTTCTATCTATATCCAGACTGCTAACCTGCTATGGGGTGCCTATGGATGTCAGGTAGTGGTGATACAACACACACACTACAATGAGGAGCAACCTTGATAGATTGCTGCTATGCTGACTGTAACTAATGAGTACTTGTGTTTCTAAAGTATTGACTAGTTGTATGGTGAGTAGAGTGGATGAGGATCCACTTGACCAATGATGATGAGAAAGCATGGTTATATACCTCTTCACAGCATCGCCAGCGATGCTGCTCCTGCTCTCTCTCCAGAGAGTACCTTCTTCATCGAGTACTGCTCAGGGGCCTCTCCTGCTTGGCACCCCTGTGCCTCTTGAGTGGTGTCGACTCCTTCGACACTGCTCCTCCTCATGACCTGGTGTCGACTCCTTCAACACTGCTCCTCTTCCTTTGACTGGTGACAGTTCCTTTGACTCTTGTCTCTCGAGCCCCTGAGTGGTAACCATCTGAGCTTGGTCCTCTTCGTGGCTGTGCCTGCTCCTTGAGCTTGGTCCTCCTCATGGCTGTGCCTGGCCCTCCTCGCATGTGGCTCATGTCCTCCTTTGCATGTGAGTCCATAGGAGTCCATGGTCTCCATGGAGACTGCACTACAACCATGCTCTCTACTGGTATCAACTAGATCTTCGATACCTGTGCTCCTTCCATATGAACCCGTGACCCTCCTGCTTCTTGAGCATCCAGGCCCATGACACCGTTCAGGAGAGCCTCCTCATTGGTTCTCCGAGAAGTACACTCAGTCTACCCACCCTATTGGAACTCACTGAGTTCCACTGAGATGGCCCATTCTGCAGGCAGTCAGGTGTTAGGCACACGACCACTGACATTAGAGTGGATCATACAAGCGATGCCCCAAGTTCATCAAGATGACCGATTCGATGTTACATTCCAAGATCGACTGGCTCATCGAGCTCCTCGAGCGCCAGCAAGAAGACAATGCTGCTCTCAGAGCTCGGCTCGATCGTCAGGATTCCCCACCCCCTGTTTGATGGACCACAGAGCAGTACTTATGCTCCCTGACCCATCGAGCTCTGGAGCCTGCCAATGAGTCTTTTGTTGGTGGACTAGAGACACCAACCCCATCCAATAGACCTCCCCCCCAGCCTATTACCTATGACATCCTAGGCAAGTGGGCATACACTGACCAGGAGAAGTACACCACTCCTACTGGACCCCGTTATGCCAAGCCTGCCATACCTGATGCATGGGGAAGCACAACCAGCGAGCCACAAGCCATGGTGCATATGGGCCTCAAGACCCTGTTCCCCAAGCTTGACACTCGAGATGTTGACATCTTCTTCCTTGAGGCCGACGCCTGGTTCAAGGCCAATGGTGTACATGATCACATGTCCATGATTCACCACACAGCCACTCAGCTTGAAGGCACTGCCCGTGAATGGTGGAAGGGTAAGCTCCACATAGATTTGCACCATCAAGGCATGCTGTTCCATGATTGGAGCCACTTCACCACTTGCCTCCAGGAGCTGTACAACCAATGCAGTAACAGGGTCGATGCCTACAACAAGCTTCTCACATTGAGGCTCACCACTGACACACCAGGAGCTGCGATGCAACATGTCGAATGCTTCTGAGACCTGGCAGCTCGGTGTCACTTGGAAGACCCCAAGTTCGTGGTCAATCTTTTCTGGGGAAGTCTTACTTGCTCTCTCCAGGAGAAGTTCGAGCATAACCCACCAGAGGACCAGTGGGCATGGTACTGCAAGGTCGAAGACATTGACCGCCAGCACATGCAGCACCACCAGAACATTGCTCGCTTTGCCCTGACCCCAACCTCGAGGGTTACTTATACTGAGCTTGGTGCCCCGCCAAAAGCTGGCCTGCGGCCACTGCCCCCACATTTTGCGCAAAGGCCATTGGCAAGGGAACCACAGCTGAGACCCCATGATGAACATAGGGTTGACATGGGCCTGACAACGTTCAATAGCGATGCATGCAGGGTCTGTGGCAAGACAGGACATTGGCAGTGGAACTGTCCAAATGCCAAGCCGACGGTGTACCCACCTAGACCTGTGGGTCTGCAGCTGTGAGCCCACATGGTGTTGGAGTCCGACGAGCCTCAGGATGCCACAGTACCCAGGGAAGGAGGTGATGCCAATGATGGACATGAGGATCATGAGGGTGTCAGCGACCATGAGGATCATTATGACCCCAACCTCTTTGCTGATGACCATGTTCCTGGCGAGCATGACCATGAGGGAGGGGGAAACGACCTTGGAGCGATGCAATGATGGCCTGCATCACTCTATGACCCCTTTCGCCATCATCCTGTATATGTCAAGATTGTCCTCTCTGTTTCTCTGCAGCAACTGGTGCCTCAGTACTCAAGCTGGTTGGTATGGTTAATCGCCACCTGGCCAATATCCTTGCCGACACCAGTGCTGCCTTGTCTATAGTTTTGACACCTTTCGTTCACAAGCACTCAATAAAAACAAAACCCACAAAAAACAGAACTGTACATGGGGTGACTGGTCACTCCCTTGCCATCTCCAGAGATGCTGAGGTAGACATAGCCATTGGAGGGCAGTACCTGGGAATGCTGAAGGTCACCATTGCCAATGCTAGTGACTATGACCTCATCCTGGGGTACGATGAACTCTGACAGTTGCAGCTGACAGTCAATTGGGACACCAGCCAGCTCGACTTTGGCAGAAATGATGTGGTCCAGCCAAACACAACCACCCAAGGGATTACACCAGAATTGGGTGCCAATTGCAAGACTGATGGTGGAACCAACAAGTTCCAGTCAAAAGCGCCTCCTCGAGGGATCCCACTGAAACTCGGCAAGAACCACAGACCTGATGAGTCTCAGGTGAATCTCGTGGTGCATGGACATGAGTTCGTCGATGCTAAGGAGCTCATCCATGCAGCACTGCGAGATGGCCCCATTGGGATCATGCTAGTCAGTGCCCCTCCAGCATCATTCCTGGTGTTTGGGTTTGTCCCCACAGGGGACAATAAAGGCATAGAAATGGAAATGACACAGGGGGAACCCCCCATGGCCGTCAACATACCAGCTCCATACCAACATCTCCAGGAGGTGTTTGATGAGGTCAAGGCAGATAAGCTTCCCCCTCATGCTGCCCACGACTTGCATATCGAGCTACTCCCCAGCTCAACACCACCACAGGGCCCTTTGTATCTTAAGGGGCCAAAGGAGATGGCCGAACTAAGGAAGTACCTTGACGAAAATCTTGAGAAGGGGTTCATATGCCCTTCAAAGAGTCCAGCCTGATCACCTGTCCTCTTCATACCTAAGAAGGATGGTGGTCTGTGGCTTTGCATTGACTATCGTGGCCTCAATGAGGTCACAGTTAAGAATTGGGCACTGCTGCCTCTGATCGAGGAGCAGCTGTTCCTCCTTCGAAAAGCGAAGATCTACACCAAGCTGGACCTGAAGGCAGCATACAACTTGGTCAGGATCGCTGAGGGCAATGAGTGGAAAACAGCATTCGGTACTCAATTGGGGCTGTACGAGTATCTGGTCATGCCATTTGGGTTGGTGAATGCACCTGCGCATTTCCAATCGCTCATCAACCAAATCTATTGTGACATCATTGGTGTATACATGGTGGTATACCTCGATGACTTCCTGATATTCAGCAACAATGAGAGAGAGCACATCGAGCATGTCAGGACAGTGCTGGGTAGACTCAAGGCATGGCGATTGTTTGCCAAGCTCTCGAAGTGCACATTCCATACCAACACTGTTGAGTTCCTCAGCTACATCATCAAGCCTTCCAGTATTGAGATGGACCCTGATAAGATCAAGACGATCAAGGAGTGGCTGATGCTGGAGTCAATACATGACATCCAATGCTTCCTTGGATTCACCAACTTCTATTGGAGGTTCATATCCCACTTTGCATGTATCACGAGACCACTCATGTCACTAGTCAAACCAACAGAGCGGTTCAAGAAGTTCACCCTCCCTGATGATGCCTGCATGGCCTTCTACAAGCTGGTGGAGGTTTTCACCACTGCTGGGGTACTCAAGCACTTTGACTACCATCATCCTACACATTTGGAGACGGATGCCAGCGACTTCGCCATCACTGGCATACTCAAACAAGAGTACAACAGGTGATGGCACCCAGTGGTGTTCTACTCATGCAAAATGGCCTCGGCAGAGAGGAACTATGAGATTCATGACAAGGAGCTTCTCACTGTTGTTGTCTGTCTCAATCATTGGCGGCACATGCTCGCAGGGTTGCCCAGCCAGCTCACCATCCTCACCAACCATGAGGCGCTGAAGTATTTCAAGTCCCAATGACAGATCACAGGCAGGCAGGCATGCTGGTCAGTATTACTCGCTGACTTCGACTTCATGCTCCAATACAGACCAGGAGAGAAGGCAGGAGAGCTGGACACCCTGACCCGACGAAGGGACATGCTTCCGACCCCAGAGGAAGACTTGCACAATGTCCAACAGTTGCTACCAATGCAGGTATTCCTCGAAAACCCCAACATCTGATGAGATGATGTGACCAGATGAGGTTCACTGGAACCCAATGGAGAAGTGTGCCCTGCCGAATCTTGGGTAAATATGTTGCACAAGGCCCCGGCAACTGTCGCAAGGGACATCTGGCAAGAGGGTACCATTTGGCAAAACTCACCGGAGTCTGCCCAGAGAGTGTGACCCACCGAAGTCTGTGGGGATACACTGGATCCAACAATGTCAGATATCGCAGAAGGAGGGTTAACCAAGTTGGTAAGGACTTTCCAACCCCTTGATACTGAGCTTGTGGTGCTCCACCAGAAGCAGCCTTTCGAGACCACTGAGGGACTATGGTACCACAATGGTCGACTAGTGATACCGCGGGTCTCCCTGCTGGGGAGGAAAGGCCAATGCAACACTCGAAGTGCAGTGGAGGTGAAGGACTGGTCACTCTCAGTGGAGCACCTCCAGTACATGGTGATGTCACAGTGCCATGATGGGGTCACCACCGGCCACACAGGCTGGGATGCTACTCTCGAGCTTATGAAGTGACATTACTGGTGGCTGAATATGGCCGCTTGGATCGCTGACTATGTGGCAAGCTGCTCAGTGTGTGCCCACTACAAAGTGCCCTGACACTGGCCCTATGGTCTCTTGCAACCACTGTCAACTCTGTCGAAGCCATGGAGCTCCATATCCATGGACTTTATCAAAGGATTGCCCAAGTTGGCCAGCTATGATTTGATCTTCATGATCGTTGACCAGCTAACTAAGTATGCCATTTTAGCACTGATGCACAAGATGATCATGTCGAAGCAAACTGCAGAGCTGCTCAAGGACCAGGTCATGAGTCACTTTGGAGTACCGGACCATATAGTCTCAGATTGCAGCCACCAGTTTGTCTCAGCAGCATGGAGAGAGTTCATGGAGAAGCTGGTCATTCACCACTCGCTCAGCACAGCCTACCACCTGCAGACAGACAGACAGATGGAGCAAGTCAACCAAGTGGTAGAACAGTACCTCCGCATGTACTGTAACTACAAGCAAGATGACTGGGTTACTTGGCTGCCGATGGCTGCATTCATGTACAATAACACAGTTCACAGCAGCATAGGAGTCTCTCCCTTCTTCGCATGCTACAGGTGGAACCTGAAGTTGCACCCAGAGCTTCTGAAACAAGTCGGAATACTCGACCTGAAGAAGAGTGAGTTTGCCACCCGCAGAGAAGAGTTCACGGCATACCTGCAGGACCAGATCCAGCAGGCTCAGGGCCGTGCAGTGGCACAATATAATCAGAAGAGGAAGGACATGGAGTTCAGGGTTGGTGACATGGTCTATGTCAACCAGAAGAACTGGAAAACGACAAGACCTAGCCCCAAACTCGACACCTGTCTGGTGGGTCTGTTCCCAGTGCTTGAACACATCGGCAGGTGGGCATATCGACTGCAACTGCCCACAAGTCTGCACATACATGATGTCTTCCATGTCTCAATGCTCGAACCAAAGATGACCAGCTCTCTACCACAGCATTCAGAGATTGAGGTCACACCACCACTGCCAGACGAAGAGTTAGAGTTCGAAGTGGAGGCAATTGTTGTGAAGCGTGGGCATGGTCGGCAGCTGGAGTACAAGGTGTTATGGCAGGGCTACCCGGAAGAGGCAGCCTCATGGGAACCAGTGGCCTGTCTCAATTGTCCTGACCTCATCCGGGAGTATGAGGATTCAGAGGGGGGAAGGAGACAGTAGCACAGACAACAGTGAGGGGTTGCAAAGAAATGAGTTCTGGTCGGCGACCTCAATTCGGGGGATGTCCATGAGATCTGCCAAATAATACTGGGCACAGCAGAGGGACAAGACCTGGTCAGAGACCCTGATTCAGAGAATTTCCACAAATCCACCAAGTTGTGCAGGAGTCAAAGGATCTCAGGTCTAGGAGGTGACATGTGCCAACATGTGTGTGCCATGGTGTATATGGTTCGCCTCATGCTAGCGGCCACACATTCAGTCTCACACGAGGGATGATGAGGAACAAGAAGGTTATGATTGCCAAGTCACTACATGTCAATATAGCCCATTGGCATGGTTAGCTCCACAGTCTCGGCAATGGGCGAGTGCTTGTCGGCAGGTGGAGCGGTGTTGATGGGGGCAGGGCCGGCACTGGCAACCTCCAACCTTTCAAAGGGGGTGTGCAGAGACTCCAAGCACGACCAACAATGAAGGTACTCCTCAATTGCGAGAAGGACTGGTTCACATACAGAGCAGGGTGAGGCACCCCAGATGATGCACATTGTGTAGTCCCAGTCATCATCCTCCATGGGGTTTGAGAGGTGGTCTTGCTCGCATACTGCACCTGAGCCTTTTCCCCTGGCACCGGTAAGATGAGCATGCTCGACACCATGCTCGCCAGGGCACAGGTGTCGAGGGGGAGCGTCCCCATAATACACCATTGTGGGTAAGGCACTCACTGTGCATCTGCATCTTTTGTGGCTGCCTAGATGGCAATGCACACAGTTGTGAGGAAGCTGGCCCCTACCGCCGGCGGAGAGCATGTCAGCGAAGGCTGATGGAAAGCACCTGTGGGGAGCAGAAGAGGGTCAGCAGCGGCCCATAAGACAAGTAGGGAAGAGGCAACCAGGTACTTATGGGATACCAAGCTTGGTGCAGCGGAGGCATTGCCAGCTTGGCCAGGGCATACAGCCCTCGGTCAAGCGAAGCAAGACCAGACAACGGAGCCACCCAGCCACGGGAGCATTCTCTGCCACCACCCAATCCCCGGGCCAAGCCTGACAGGCCACCAATACCAGCAACACTGGAGCAATGTGTCGCTTGGCCCATAACATGACCTCGTGGTTGTTGGGCACATGCTCTCCTATGACAGAGGAAGCAGGTGAAGGTGTGGGAGGGTAGACCACCGGTGGTGGAGTAACCCTGGTGGGCATCTCGATAAGCACCAGCGTGTCCTCACAACTGGTTCTGAGCATAGCATCCACCACCTCATCAGCAGTGGGTGGTGGAGACTCCAGTGCGCCCAACTGTGCCTGATACCCCAGTTCACGCTCCTCAGTCATCATCCTTACACGTCGAGCCATGGTTTCCTCTACCATCTCGATGACCTCCCTCTCCTCCAATTCCCCAATTTCCAGCTCCACCACCCATTGTTCCTCCTCCTCCTCCTCACTCTCAAGGAACGCGGTTTCCACCCCTTCACCACCAAGGAACAATGGTTCTTCTTCATCACTGCAGAGGAACAGCGGTTCCAAGCAGGGACAGGCTTCCGAAGCAAGGGAGTCTAGCAGCTCAGCAGCTGCAGTTTCAGAAGACTGCTCGTTGATGGCGGTTGTAGGAGGAGCTGTGGCCATGGGGTCAGCAGCAAAGGGACCCACAGGAGGGGCAGAACTGCATCCAAGTAGCCTGGCGCTGCAGCACACAGGTTTTCCCAACCCAGAGGTGGGTAGGGGTTGGGACGACAAAGCAGAGCAGGAAGGGTTACGTGTGCACATCATCTTGATGATCATGTGTAGTGCTGTTGGTGGAACAGCAGGAAGTAAGGGATTGCTGGTAAATGGAGCTAGCCTCGATGGAGCTCAGCTCTTGAAGGGGGGGTAGTGTCATGGGAGCCGGTTGGCCAAAATGGAGTCTGCACCATCTGCCGAAATGGAGTCTGTGCCATCTGCGCAGACAGAGAGGTTAAATCGGTTGAAGGGCTGTGTAAGAACCTGACTCAGCAGTTCCCAAGGAGATCCAGTAGGAGACCATAACTTGCTGGATATCAGGGACTACTGGTGGCAGGAACAGATGGGAGGGTTGTTGAGCAATGCCACTCTGTGGTACACATGGGAAGTTGTTGTTGTCAATCAACGATGATCAGACACATGATGAATTGCTAGGGAACAATCACTCTGGAAGTGTAGTTGGTTTGGCAGCTCGGGAAGGTGCTGAAGTCAGCCTTACCAAGCAAGCCCTGAGTGGTGCCACATGCAGGTCGTGTGGTGGCACTAGATTGTGTCCTTGATACAGCATTGTATATATACTATCTCCCCATGCTATTGGATGAGCAGAGACTCATCCACTCTACAAAACTTTCACAGTTATCATAGCCATATGTTCCACTACATGAACAGTAACATTCTTTCTACATTGCACATCGCAATATCATCTATTGCAATCATTGCAAGTCTGAGCCTTCGTTGTTGAATGAAGAGTATTGTAAACGATGTCATCGACACCTACATTGGCACTGTAGCACCTCAACTACAGGCAGAACCTCCACCGCAGGCCTGGAACCTCTACCAGTCCCTATAACCTAACTGCTGCCAGCAACAATGACCAAGCATTAGCTCTGTCACTGACCATGCTATGTCAATGTCTTGACACTCATGCCAACATTGCACTACACCATTGCTAGGAGCTGACCTTGCTGTGTTACCTCTGTATGGAGTGCTGACAGTGGTTAGTCGACATCCATTCCCTGGGCCTCACTCATTGGGTATCATGGGTAACTGTTCAGGAGAGCCTCCTCATTGGTTCTCCGAGAAGTACACTCAGTCTACCCACCCTATTGGAACTCACTGAGTTCCACTGAGATGGCCCATTCTGCAGGCAGTCGGGTTTTAGGCACACGACCGCTGACACCCAGGTCGGTCTGTCGAGATACTTGGTGACTATCAAACTGTGCAACAGCTATTGTCTCAGTATCAGTCTTGATGAGCTACATCACTTGGCAACTATCAAGTTGCACAATGACAGCAGGTGGCATTCATTGTATATACTGTCATAGGTTTCAGCTGACCTCTGTGGACACTCTGTTCAGGGGTAGCTTGGCACGATCAATATCAATATGTAGGTTATGATGACACCAAGGTCTGGTGTGAGTGTTGATGATGATGAGGTTGATGGTGTTGGTGATAAGGTTGATGGTGTTGGTGATAAGGTTGATGGTGTTGGTGATAAGGTTGGTGGCATCAACATGAGTGTCCAGTGTGTTGACTGATGCTTGGAGTGATCCCCAGACTGCAGTGGACTACTGCCTTTGGTTCTATCTTAATACAGACTGCTGGTTTGCTATGAACTGCCTTTGGACATCAGGTAGTGGTGATACAACACATGCACTACAAGGAGGAGCAACCTTGATAGATTGCTACTATGCTGACTGGAACTAATATATACTTATGCTGAAGTGATAACTAGTTATGGTGTGTGTAGAGTTGATGAGGATCCACTCAACCTTTGATGATGAGAAGGTATGGTTATATACCTCTTCACAGTGTTGCCAGCAATGCTGCTCCTGCTCTCTCTCTCCAGAGAGTACCTTCTTCATTGTGTACTGTACAGAGGGCCCCTCTAGCACCACTCCTGTCCTCTTGAGCTGTCCTGCTTGCTTGGCACCCCTGTGCCTCTTGAGCTGTGTTGACTCCTTCAACACTGCTCCTCCTTCTTGCTATCCTGCTTGTTTGGCACCCCTGTGCCTCCTGAGTGGTGTTGACTCCTTCGACACTGCTCCTCCTCCTCAGGACCTGCTTGCCAGTTTCCTATACACTGCTCCTTCTCCTTTGACTGGTGATGGTTCCTTTGACTCTTGTCTCTTGAGCCCCTGAGTGGTAACCATCTGCATGCTCCTTGAGCTTGGTCCTCTTTGTGGCTGTGCCTGCTCCTTGAGCTCGGTCCTCTTCGTGGCTGTGCCTGGCCCTCCTCGCATATGGGCCCAGTCCTCCTTTGCATGTGAGTCCGTAGGAGTCCATGGTCTCCATGGAGACTGCACTACGACCATGCTCTCTACTGGTATCAACTAGATTTCCGATACCTGTGCTCCTTCCATATGAACCAGTTGTCATGGGCCTGGATGCTCAAGAAGCAGGAGGGTCACTGGTTCATATGGAAGGAGCACAGGTATCGAAGACCTAGTCGATACCAGTAGAGAGCATGGTCATAGTGCAGTCTCCATGGAGACCATGGACTCCTATGGACCCACATGCAAAGGAGAACCGAGCCACATGTGAGGAGGGCCAGGCACAGCCATGAGGAGGACCAAGCTCAAGGAGCAGGCACAGCCACGAAGAGGACCAAGCTCAGATGGTTACCACTCAGGGGCTTGAGAGACAAGAGTCATAGGACACTGGCAAGCAGGTCCTGAGGAAGAGGAGCAGTGTCGAAGGAGTTGACACCAGGTCATGAGGAGGAGGAGCAGTGTCGAAGGAGTCGACACCAGGTCATGAGGAGGAGGAGCAGTGTCGAAGGAGTCGACACCACTCAAGAGGCACAGGGGTGCCAAGCAGGAGAGGCCCCTGAACAGTACTCGATGAAGAAGGTACTCTCTGGAGAGAGAGCAGGAGCAGCATCGCTGGCGATGCTGTGAAGAGGTATATAACCATGCTTTCTCATCATCAAAGGTCGAGTGGATCCTCATCCACTCTACTCACCATAACTAGTTATCACTTCAGCATAAGTATATATTAGTTTCAGTCAGCATAGCAGCAATCTATCAAGGTTGCTCCTCATCATAGTGTGTGTGTTGTATCACCACTACCTGATGTCTGAAGTTGCCCATAGCAGGTTAGCAGTCCGGATCAAGATAGAACCGAAGGCAGTAGTCCACTGTGGTCCAGGGATCACTTCAAGCATCAAGTCAACACACTGGACACTCGTGTTGACGCCACCAACCTTATCACCAACACCATCAACCTCATTATCATCAACATCACCAATCTCATCACCAACGTCATCAACCTCATCATCATCAACCCTCACACCAGATCTTGGTGTCATCATAACCGAAGCATTGATATTGATCGTGCCAAGCTACCCCTGAATGGAGTGTCCACAGAGGTCAGCCGAAACCTACAATAGTATATACAACGAACGCCACCTGCTGTCACTGCGCAACTTGATAGTCACACAGTATCTCGACAGGCCGACCTGGGCATCAGGGGTCTCGCGCCTGAAACCCAGGTCGGTCTATCGAGATACTCGGTGACTATCAAACTGTGCGACAGCTATTGTCTCGGTATGGGTGACTATCAAGTTGTGCAGTGACAACAGGTGGTGTTCGTTGTATATACTATCGTAGGTTTCGGCTGACCTCTGTGGACACTCCGTTCAGGGGTAGCTTGGCACGATCAATATCAATGCTTCAGTTATGATGACACCAAGGTCTGGTGTTAGTGTTGATGATGATGAGGTTGATGATGTTGGTGATAAGGTTGGTGAGTGTTGCTGATAATGAGGTTGATGGTGTTGGTGATAAGGTTGGTGGCATCAACACGAGTGTCCAGTGTGTTGACTTGATGCTTGAAGTGATCCCCAGACCACAGTGGACTACTGCCTTCAGTTCTATCTTGATCTGGACCGCTAACCTGCTATGGGCACCTTCAGACATCAGGTAGTGGTGATACAACACACACACTACGATGAGGAGCAACCTTTGATGGATTGCTGCTATGCTGACTGAAACTAATATATACTTATGCTGAAGTGATAACTAGTTATGGTGAGTAGAGTGGATGAGGATCCACTCGACCTATGATGATGAGAAAGCATGGTTATATACCTCTACTCAGCATCGCCAGCGATGCTGCTCCTGCTCTCTCTCTCCAGACAGTACCTTCTTCATCGAGTACTGCTCAGGGGCCTCTCCTGCTTGGCACCCCTGTGCCTCTTGAGCTGTGTCGACTCCTTCGACACTGCTCCTCTTCCTCATGACCTGATGTCAACTCCTTCGACACTGGTCCTCCTCCTCATGACCTGGTGTCGACTCCTTCGACACTGCTCCTCCTCCTCATGACCTGGTGTCAACTCCTTCAACACTGCTCCTCCTCCTTTGATCAGTGACAGTTCCTTTGGCTCTTGTCTCTCGAGCCCCTGAGTGGTAACCATCTGCATGCTCCTTGAGCTTGGTCCTCTTCGTGGCTGTGCCTGCTCCTTGAGCTTGGTCCTCCTTGTGGCTGTGCTTGGCCCTCCTTTGCATGTGAGTCCATAGGAGTCCATGGTCTCCATGGAGATTGCACTATGCTCTCTACTGATCTCGACTAGATCTTCGATACCTGTGCTCCTTCCATATGAACCCATGACCCTCCTGCTTCTTGAGCATCCAGGCCCATGACACTGGGTTTCAGGCGCGAGACCCCTGACATTAGAGTGGATCGTTCAAGCAGCTCCTCATGATCACCATGACAGACCCAGACCTCAACAATAAGCTTGATAGACTACTCACTCTATTAGAAGCACAGCTAGAGCTTACCAGACAGGGTCATCGAGAGGAACGATTACAATGAGCTCAACTGAGCAGGGAGGAGACAATGGACCTCTCCCACTCAGAAGACCAAGCAGGAGGAGGAGATGAGTCTATGATAGGAGACCCACATACTCCTACTCCGGCTCCACAACCAAGACAATCAGTCTCATTCAACCTGGATGAGCAGGAGGACATCAACTATGAGAAGTATGCTTCACCCACGGGGCCAAGATATGTCAAGTCCAGGGTGGATCCATATAACAAGAGCAGGACAGATCACTATGCACTTGATCAGGAGGAGGACTCTAGCATCATGGCAGAGCTTAACCGGTCAAAGCCCATTGCCACCCCCTTTCGAAAGTTCAATCCCCAAGACATGGAGATCTTCATTCTAGAAGCCGAAGCATGGTTTAAGTTCAACCAGGTGTATGAGCAGACTAGGATGATCAATCACATGGGTGCTCAACTGGAAGGGACAGCAAGAGAGTGGTGGACCTCCAAGCTCCATATTGATAGAGCTAGAGAAGGAAGGTTGTTCAATGATTGGCACTACTTCACAGAGTGACTGTCAGAGCAGTTCAACCCGCGCAATGCTAGGATGGAGGCATACAACAAGCTGTTGGCCCTCAGACTCACAAGTGATGCTCCTGGTGCTGCCACATGTCATGTAGAGTGGTTCAGAGACTTGGAAGGACAGGTCAACCTAGATGACAATGAGCTAGTGATTGATCTCTTCAGAGGTAGTCTCACTCGTAGCATACAGGAGAAGTTTGAGAGGAACCCACCTGGGAAGAGATGGGAGTGGTATTGAGAGGTTGAGGAGATCGATCAACAGAGGATGCTACTACAGCAGTCCTCGGCTAGACACTCACTCCCAAATGCCATGTCACCTCCACTAAGAACTGGGTCTCGGCCAATTCAAAGTTCAATCCCCATACAGCAACCCACTCAACCTTATCCAGCTCGATCACCAGCACAAGCAACTACACAAGCAACTACACAAAACCTAAACCGACCCCTTCCTCATCAACCCACCCAAACCTCGAAGCAAGGAAGCCCTGCTCCAACAGGTATCAACACCTGTCATGTATGCAAGGGTATCGGCCATTGGGCCAGAGACTGCCCCAGCAGGAGGATAGACCCTCTTAGCTCTCGACCCATGGGACCAAAGGTTATGGTCACCACAGCAGACCCCTTCGAGGAGGCCACCGACTCAGGAGATGGCCACACAGGCAGCACTGAGATGGGTGACCCCAAGGCCATGGACCTCAGCTCATACCAGCAACCCATGGACCCCGATCATGAGGAGGAGCACGATGATGACGACGACAAGGGAAACATCAGTGGGGTGATGCACTGATGGCATGCATTGCTCTACAAACCTCCTCGCCATCACTCTGTATATATCAAGATTGTCAAGTATGTTTCTCTACCAGTGGAGGCAAAGCAGTATTGGAGCTCTCTGGAATGGTTCAAGACCATCCTGCTCAGATACTAGCTGATACTGGTGCTGGTTTGTCCATAGTCTCAGATTCTTTCATTAGTAAGTACCAAATACCCACAAAACCCATAAATACAAGATCGATCCATGGTGTCACCAGACACCAACTCTCCATCAATAGTTCTGCGAGCATGCAGGTATCTATTGGTACACACAATCTGGGTGTGGTTGAAGCTTCAGTGGCCAACACTGCTGACTATGACCTCATCCTGGGGTTCACTGAGCTACGGAGGCTCAAACCCACCATACAATGGGATACGGGCCAGCTGGAGTTCAAGACTCAGGAGCAGGATCAAACCCCAAGGAGACCCCCTGAAGTAGCAAGAGCAGGGGACCTAACCATGAGGAGACCAACCCTTCATGGTAACAAGTTTGTCTCAGCAGAGCACATACTACAAGCAGCTCTGGAAGATGGACCCATAGGGTTCATGCTGTTGGAGGAGCCACCATCATCACTCCCAGCCTTTGGTTTTGTACCTACAGGTGCAGACAAAGGAGTCGAGATGGAGGTGGAGGTAGACAAGGTGGTGACAGCTGCAGACATACCAAAGCCATACCAACACCTGTGAGATGTGTTCAATGAGGTGGAAGCAGACAAGCTGCCCCATCATACCGAGCATGATCTCCACCTCGAGTTGATAGAAGGAGGTAAGCCACCTCAAGGGCCCCTATACCTTAAGGGACCCAAGGAGATGTCCAAGTTGAGGAGGTACTTGGATGAGAACCTCGAGAAGGGGTTCATAAGACCATCGAAGAGCCCAGCACGATCACCAGTGCTCTTCGTACCAAAGAAGGATGGAGGTCTCAGACTCTGTGTGGACTACCAAGGTCTCAACGAGATCACTGTCAAGAACAGGGCACCATTGCCCCTCATCGAGGAGCAGCTGTTCTTACTCAGGAAGGCAAGGATCTATACCAAGCTAGACCTTAGAGCAGCATACAACCTCATCCGGATTGCTAAAGGAGATGAATGGAAGACAGCTTTTGGCACTCAGTTGGGACTCTATGAGTACCTAGTGATGCCCTTTGGCCTAGCCAATGCTCTGGCTCACTTCCAGTCATTCATCAATGACATCTTCCAAGACATCATTGGGATATATGTGGTAGTATACCTAGATGACTTCCTGATCTTCAGTGACACTGAAGAAGCACATGTGAAGCATGTCACCAAGGTCCTCACTCACTTAAGGAGCAACAGGCTCTTTGCTAAGCTGTTGAAGTGTGAGTTCCACACCAAGACAGTCAAGTTCCTGGGGTACATCATCAAGCTGACAGGCATAGAGATGGACCCAGAAAAGGTGCGCACTGTCAAGGAGTGGCCAATGCCAGAGTCAATCCATGACATCCAGAGGTTCCTGGGTTTTGCCAACTTCTATCGAAGGTTCATAGCCCAGTTTGCTCGAATAGCCAAGCCCTTGACATCACTGGTAAAGCCTACAGAATGGTTCAAGAAGTTCGAGCTACCAGAGGAGGCCCAGCAGGCCTTCCACAAGCTCATCCAGGCATTCACATCAGCAGGAGTGCTTCAGCACTTCAACTACCACCTCCCAACCAGGTTGGAGACTGATGCAAGTGACTTTGCTATAGCAGGAGTACTCAAGCAGGAGCATGAAGGACAATGGCACCCAGTGGCCTTCTACTCTAGGAAGATGTCTCCTGCTGAGAAGAACTATGAAATCCATGACAAGGAGCTCCTAGCTGTGGTCGCCTGCCTCACTCAGTGGCAACACATGCTAGCTGGACTACCGAGACAACTGGTCATCCTCACTGACCATGAAGCCCTCAAGTACTTCAAGTCACAGAGATGCATCACAGGTCAACAGGCTCGATGGGCAATACTACTAGCAGACTTCGACTTCATATTGCAGTATCGACCAGGAGACAAAGGTGGTGAACCCGATGCTCTCACCAGAAGGACAGACATGCAACCAGCTGGTGAAGAGCAGGATCACAATGTGAGGCAACTACTGCCTCCTCGAGTGTTCAGGGAGACAGCAGACCATGGCTCGACCCTAGTGGCCCCTATGCTCTCAATGGAGTCCATAGCATCAAAAGGTCTCAGAGACCTGGTCAAGATCTTCCAGCCCTTAGACCAAGAGCTACAGGAGATACATAGGAAGAAGCCCTTCGAGGTCAAGGACAACCTATGGTACAGTGGAGGAAGGTTGGTTATCCCCAAAGTGATCATGCCAGGGAGGACCAACAACTGACACTCAAGGAGTGCCAAAGAGGTAGATGGACAGTCCCTCTCTGTAGAGCATCTGTGATTCATGGTGATGACCCAATGCCATGATGGTATCACTGCTGGACATGTAGGAAGAGATGCTACCATCAAGGCAGCTCAACAACATTACTGGTGGCCAAACATGACAGCTTGGATTGCAGACTATGTAGCAAGTTGTCCTGTATGTGCTAGGTACAAAGCTCCTTGTCATCGTCCATATGGTTTGCTACAGCCACTAGCAACACCAGACAGGCCCTGGGGCTCCATATCCCTCGACTTCATTGAAGGACTACCACCATCAAAGAAGTATGACTCCAAGACCTATGACTCTATCTTAGTCATTGTTGACAGGTTGACCAAGTTTGCCATACTAGCCCCAACCCATAAGACAGTCACGGCCAAACAGACTGCAGTGTTGCTCAACCGTCGAAACTGGAAGACAAGGAGACCCACACCCAAGTTAGATACCCAGTTTGCAGGACCCTACCCAGTTCAGGAACGAGTAGGACACCGAGCTTATCGAATCACATTGCCAGCAAACCTTAGGGTGCATGATGTGTTCCATGTCTCCATGCTCAAGCCAGCAAGAACAAGTTCTCTTCCTCAATGTGCTGAACAGCCCACCATACCATCACTTCCAGATGAGGACCTCAACTTCGAAGTCGAGGCACTCATCGACAAATGTTCACACAATGGGACAACAGAGTACAAAGTGTTGTGGAGAGGGTACTCAGAGGAAGCTGCTTCATGGGAACCAGTAGAGAACCTCAACTGCCCCGACCTCATCCAGGAGTATGAGGTGTCGGAGGGGGGACGAGCGAGTAGACAAAATAGAGAGAGAAGGAGGAAGGAGGATGACGTTGAGAGAAGGAGGAAGGATGATGTTGTTGAGGAGGGGGAGGAGGAGGAGGAGTCAGCATGAACCAGACCAGAGCATGCCTCGACGGAGCTCGGCTCTTAAGAGGGGGGTAGTGTCATGGGCCTGGATGCTCAAGAAGCAGGAGGGTCACTGGTTCATATGGAAGGAGCACAGGTATCAAAGATCTAGTCGATACCAGTAGAGAGCATGGTCATAGTGCAGTCTCCATGGAGACCATGGACTCCTATGGACCCACATGCAAAGGAGAACTGAGCCACATGCGAGGAGGGCCAGGCACAGCCACGAGGAGGACCAAGCTCAAGGAGCAGGCACAGCCACGAAGAGGACCAAGCTCAGATGGTTACCACTCAGGGGCTCAAGAGACAAGAGTCATAGGACACTGGCAAGCAGGTCCTGAGGAAGAGGAGCAGTGTCAAAGGAGTCGACACCAGGTCATGAGGAGGAGGAGCAGTGTCGAAGGAGTCGACACCACTCAAGAGGCACAGGGGTGCCAAGCAGGAGAGGCCCCTGAACAGTACTCGATGAAGAAGGTACTCTCTGGAGAGAGAGCAGGAGCAGCATTGCTGGTGATGCTGTGAAGAGGTATATAACCATGCTTTCTCATCATCAAAGGTTGAGTGGATCCTCATCCACTCTACTCACCATAACTAGTTATCACTTCAGCATAAGTATATATTAGTTTCAGTCAGCATAGCAGCAATCTATCAAGGTTGCTCCTCATTGTAGTGTGTGTGTTGTATCACCACTACCTGATGTCCAAAGGCGCCCATAGCAGGTTAGCAGTCCAGATCAAGATAGAACTGAAGGCAGTAGTCCACTGCGGTCTGGGGATCACTTCAAGCATCAAGTCAACACACTGGACACTCATGTTGATGCCACCAACCTTATCACCAACACCATCAACCTCATTATCAGCAACACTCACCAACCTTATCACCAACATCATCAACCTCATCATCATCAACACTAACACCAGACCTTGGTGTCATCATAACTGAAGCATTGATATTGATCATGCTGAGCTACCCCTGAACGGAGTGTCCACAGAGGTCAGCCGAAACCTACGATAGTATATACAATGAACGCCACCTGCTGTCACTGCGCAACTTGATAGTCACCGAGTATCTCGACAGACCGACCTGGGTTTCAGGCGCGAGACCCCTGACACCAGTGACCCTCCTGCTTCTTGAGCATTCAGGCCCATGACACAATGATGCACTTGAATGGACATATGATAAGGGCATAGAATGGCAGATGACTGTGGGATACAATAGCAGACAGAACAGACATGTGGAGAGGATGAATAGGAGTCTGGGTGAGAAGATGCAAACACTGCTCATGCAAAGGAGGCTGCCAAAGAGTTTCTGGCCCTATGCAATCTGGGATGCAGCATTCAAAATGAACCTCACCCCAAACATCAATGGTGAGTTCCCATACCAAGCTATGTTTGGGAAGTTGCTGGAGTAGCTCAAGAGGCTCTTACACATATTCAGATGCCTAGCATGGGTAAACATTCCAAAAGTTAAAAGAGATAATAAAAAGCTAGACCAACAAGCCATGGCATCTATATTTCTGGGATGCAGTCTGGAAAGGAGAGGATGGCTTTTCTACAGCCCAGACTACAGCCTGAACATATTCTGGAGCAACTTTGTGAGATTCATGGAGTCTAAATGCTGGTCTGATAAAACAGAGTGGCAACCAGTAAGCATGTGGCCACCACCAGCACTGGCAGATGAAGGAGACCTAGATGACTTAAGGTACACAGATAAGAACCTCTTCAATGAGAGAGAGAAGGAGCCACTAAACAAATACATGGATATGGAAGCAATTGATGGATTGGACGATGAGAGAGACCCAGGTGAGGGTACAACAAAGTGTCATGGGCCTGAATGCTCAGGAAGCAGGAGGGTCGCTGGTTCATATGGAAGGAGCACAGGTATTGGAGATCTAGTCAATACCAGTAGAGAGCATGGTCATAGTGCAGTCTCCATGGAGACCATGGACTTCTATGGACTCACATGCAAAGGAGCACAGAGCCCATATGCGAGGAGGGCCAGGCACAGCCATGAAGAGGACCAAGCTCAAGGAGCATGCAGATGGTTACCACTCAGGGGCTCGAGAGACAAGAGTCAAAGGAACTGTCACTGGTCAAAGGAGAAGGAGCAGTGTATAGGGAACTGGCAAGCAGGTCCTGAGGAGGAGGAGCAGTGTCGAAGGAGTTGACACCAGGTCCTGAGGAGGAGGAGCAGTGTTGAAGGAGTCAACACCACTCAGGAGGCACAAGGGTGCCAAACAAGCAGGATAGCAAGGAGGAGGAGCAGTGTCGAAGGAGTCAACACAGCTCAAGAGGCACAGGGGTGCCAAGCAAGCAGGAGAGGCCCCCTGAACAGTACTCAATGAAGAAGGTACTCTCTGGAGAGAGAGCAGGAGCAGTGTCGCTGGTGATGCTGTGAAGAGGTATATAACCATGCTTTCTCATCATCAAAGGTCGAGTGGATCCTCATCCACTCTACACAACCATCATAACTAGTTATCACTTCAGCATAAGTATATATTAGTTTCAGTCAGCATAGCAGCAATCTATCAAGGTTGTGTAAGCGATCGCACGCCAGAGACTAACTGAGGTTGATTGAGTAAGGACTACTCGATATGATTCGCCTAAACATAACCAAGTGTCATTGCCTAGTAAGTCTCGACTGACCACCTTGAACACTCTGTTCAGAGGTTGCACAGCACAGATGTTGTTTGTTGGTGAGTGGGTGATACACCCTCCACTACAGTACAAGTGTTTGTAGTACTGTTGATAATGCTCTTGGACATTGTCTGGACTGCGATATGCTAATTGCCTACAGAGGATGGGAGTTACTGGACTGCAGGTGTGAATCACCGCCTACAATAACTGACTGGACTGCTGGTGTCAAGCAACACCACCTACAGCAAGGGACTGGACCACAGGTGTTGAAGAACACTGCCTACAGTAATGAACTGGACTGCTAGTGTGAGGAACACTGCCTACAGTTGTCAACTAACAGTGATACAACACACACATTGAGAGTCGTTGCAAGAGCACTGCTATTGCGATGATATGTAACCAAGTAAGTATAGAGTAAGTAAGTTGAGTTCAGAGTGGATGCCCCTCCACTCATATGCTATGGTAGAATGAGAGTATTTATACATTCAGTCAGTGTTTTCCCTCAACACCTATCCTGCTCCTCTTGAGGGGCCTTTGTCCCCTGTTAGGCATTGTCTTGCCCTGCTGGCACTGACCCCTTCAATACTGCACTCCTACCATTTGCTCAGCATAAGGGTTATGCAACACTGCCCTCCCACCTACATGCTCTCCTTCTGTCTGATGTGTGATGCCCCCTTTCAGCACAGCTCCCTTTCGACTTAATCATGTGAATTCCCTTTGAACCTTGTGACCATACCCCCTGGTCATGTGGTCACACCAGCACAGTTCCATCTCGACTTGTTCAGATTGGCTGACTAGTTGAAGTGTGCTGAACTGGCTGACTCCAACATCGGCACAGCTCTGAATACTTGTTCGGATTGGCCAACTAGTTGAGGCATGCTGATCCAACTGACTCTGATGTTGGCACAGCTCTGCATACTTGTTCAGATTGGCCAACTAGTTGAGGCATGCTGATCCAGCTGACTCTGATGTTGGCACAGCTCTGAGTACTTGTTCAAATTGGCCGACTAGTTGAAGCATGCTGATCCAGCTGACTCCAACTGATCCCATGAGATCGATCTGGATTCCCGGGGTTCGATCGATCTCATAATTCATGTGCACTGCCAACCTGATTAATCTCGTTGATCCCCGATGGTTTTTGGCTCTGATCAATCTGGCACACCCTTCATATGTTGATCTTCTGAGCACCCTTCATATACTGCTCCGTTATGCAACATTACCATAGCTGCCACTGATCATTTGGCACACTCTCTTGCGCAGGCCAGCCGTCCCTGTGACAGGTTGCTCCTCATCGTAGTGCGTGTGTTGTATCACCACTACCTGACATCCGAAGGCGACCCATAGCAGGTCAGCGGTCCAGATATAGATAGAACTGAAGGCAGTAGTCCACTGCAGTCTGGGGATCACCTCAAGCATCAGTCAACACACTGGACACTCATGTTGATGCCACCAACCTTATCACCAACACCATCAACCTCATCATCATCAACACTCACACCAGACCTTGGTGCCATCATAACCTATGCATTGATATTGATTGTGCCAAGCTACCCCTGAACAGAGTGTCCACAGAGGTCAGCCGAAACCTACGATAGTATATACAACAAATGCCACCTGCTGCCATTGCACAACTTGATAGTCACTGAATGACTAGCTCATCAAGACCGATACTGAGACAATAGCTGTTGCACAGTTTGATAGTCACCGAGTATCTCGACATACCGACCTGGGTTTGAGGCGCGAGACCCCTGACACAAAGATGATCGAGTATGGGACCAAAACCAACACATGGACTGACAGTACCCATTTTGGACTTATGGCGATAAATGATCACAAAGGAAGGAACCTAGACCCAACCATCAGTGAGGCATTATTGGGAGAAGATAGGAAGCATTGGGAGGAGGTGATGTGCAAAGAGCTGGATGGATTAAAAGTTATGGGCACATGGGAGATTGTCAACCTCCCCAAGGGCATGCATGCTGTTGACACATGTTGGGTCCTAAAGATCAAAACAGATGCAAATCTAATCCCAACAAAGTTCAAGGCAAGGCTGGTGGCAAGAGGCTTCACACAAAGGGAAGGCATCAATTACACAGAGGTGTTTGTGCCTGTGGCACCTATTCAATCAATCTGAGGAGTTCTAGCCATAGCAACAGTGCAAGACTGGGAAGTAGATAGCATTGATGTCAAGCAAGCATATCTAAATTCAACATTACACCATGATGTTTTCCTGAAACTGCCATTTGGAATGAAAGTCCCCTCTGGAAAGGCCTTAAAGCTGGTGAAGGGACTATATGGACTGAAGCAATCAGGCCAAGAATGGAACATAGAGCTGGATTCATATCTGTGA